CCCCCGTTTTTGGGAGTGGGGTTTTGGGGGGGCAATATTAAAACCACACCTTTCCCCGGGGGTGTTTTTTTGTTTTTTCAAGGAGGTCTTTTTTTTTGTTGTTTAAATAGACAACCCCCCCGGGGGTGTGTTTAAAAAAAACCCCCCGCAACCCCCCAATTTAAAAGGAAGGCCCCTTTTTGGGGAAAAAAAAAAAAAAAAAAAGGTCCCCCCCGTAGGATTTTGTGGCTTTGGGGAAAGGGGCAGGAAAAGGGTTTTGGGCAAAAAAAGACGCCCGCCCCCCCCCCCCCCCTCCAAGGGGGGCACATTCTGCTGTGACCCCTTACGTGAGCAGTTCGGCCGATCCCCCCCCCTGTGTTCCCGTCCCTCCTCGTGTCACTCCCCCCCCGGCCTCTCCTCTAAACCTCCCGCCCCGTCTCACCATCAGGCAATCTTGAGCGACATGCCCAACGTGGGTGTCCGCCCGAACGTGATAAGCTGCAACGCCGCCATCAAGGCTTGGGGGGAGGCCGGACAGTGGCAGCACGCCCTCTCCATCCTTCGGGGCATGTCCAAGGCCGGGCTGTCTCCGGACGCCATCAGCTACAACACGGCCATTTCTGCCCTGGGGGTCGCGGGCCAGAGCGAGCAGGCAAGTTTTTTCTTGCTGCATTTCCATGCTTGAGGGAGAGGGGGTCGTATGATTGCGCGTTTACGTCCCATCGTCGCGCGGGGTACCCTTGTTTTGAGATTTTTTTCATGGTTGGGGGGGGGGGGGGGTGTACTCATAGTCGTGCATGCCGTAGTCGTTAGACCATTGACCTCGCATCTCTACTAAGCCGGGACGGAGCACGCCGGGTTCTCACCGGACCAGGCTCTCACATCACCAAGCGCGAAGCGCCGTGAGGTATTCGGCGAGTCGCATGAAGGGTGAGCTGCATCCTGCTAAGGGTGTTCGGCATCTTGTGCTTACTTCCTTGCGTACGGATGACAGCTGCGTATGACTTAATTTATTTTCTGGTGCTTTCACTTCCAGAGACAGTTGTAAACACTGTGTAGCTACCTCGAGGATGCTTGACCATTTTAACACAATGTGGTGCGATCATCCCCCGTTGCGCGGAGTGAGGTTTCTCCACCCCGCACAACATGATCTACTCGACCACCATTATAGTTACCGCCAAAAAAAAAACCGGTAACCTGATTGCCGAGTTCACGAAGTGAATTGGCTTTTTTCACAACGTCGTTGCCAAGCGACGAAAACCCAATCCCGATGGCAAACACCGAGGGGGGGGCTTGTTTTACAACGTCGTTGCCAAGCGACGAAAACCCAACCCCGATGGCAAACACGGGGGGCGGCGGCTTGTTTTTCAACGTCGTTGCCACGCGACGAAAACCCAACCCCGATGGCAAACACCGGGGGGGACGCGGGGGGGGGAGGGGGGGGGGTACTCATAAGCGTGCGTGCTGTAGTCGTTATTCCATGGACTTCGTATCCCTAGAAGGCCGGGACGTGGATAGTGGATAGCACGCGTTTTCTCACCGGACCATGCTCAAAGCGCGAAGCGCTGTGAGGTATTCGGCGAGTCGCATGGAGGGTGCGCTGCATCCTGGGGGGGCAGCCGTATGATACCGCGCGTTGCGCAACACCAACGCGCGGGGGCTAGCGTTGCTTCGAGGATGTCAGGCCAGGGAGCGTGCAGGCATGTCTCTTGCTGCTTTTTTGTCATGGTTGGATGTGGGAGGGGGTACTCACGTTTTGCAATCCTTAGGTTGTTAGTCCATTGACCACACGTCCTCATGAGGATGGAGGAGGAGGCCGCGGGATGTTATTACCAGCGTACAGGGTAGCGCCAAGGCTCTCATCCATTTTGCGAAGCGAGAGAGGCGGGGTATAGTGTAGGTCTGCGGCACGAACATAGCGAGGGTTTCAGCCAACCGCCCGTCTTGGTTGTCTGTGGTCGACTACTGTCGTCCGCACTCACCGTGCTTGTGCTCATGCTCATGCGATGTCTCGTCTCTGCACCGGTTGTAACACTCAATGGCGAGAGCCGATGCGGCCGAGGCGTTCTGTAGACTGAACAAGCCCCCTCCGGTCTGCCGGCTACCTGTCACCCTGCCACCGGACAAGACATTTGCCAACAGCAAGCAGCGCGTGTGTCTTTGGTAAAAGCATCGACCCGCGCTAACCGGCCGACCAATGAAAAGGCGTCAGTCTCAGTGCCGCTAAAGACAGAACAATATGCTTCGGTCTGGGACGACCCCGTGAGGGGGTGTCATGGGGGGAGGCTGAAGTGCTTGCGCGTGGGTGTTGTTATCACATGTGTTCTCGGCACCAATCTTCACCGTGGGTGGCTCACCAGCCGGGGCTACACACGTAGGCAGCAGAGCGGGGTCCTGGCATACCAAACGCATACGTGACGTGCATCCTTTGCAGTGGCGGTGTAAGCAAGAACATCCCCCCCCCCCCCCCCCCCCCCCCCCCCGGTGCCGCCCCCCCCGGGGGGGGGGGGGGCCCCTTTTCCAAAAGTTCCCGCTTGGG